GAGAGAGAGAGAGAAAGGGAGAGAGAGAGAGACGGGGGGGGGATAATAATAATATAGTGTATCTGAATAATTCAGTATCAATCTTCTGCGATTAACAATTTTATTACATGTCAGTACTGGACTGAAATGTATGTAGGCCTAGATCTAAATGGCTTGGCCTTTGTAGAGTGGCAGGAGGCAAGAATACTGTTGATTGCTAAGCTGGTACACAGATGGCGATAATATCATGATGATGGTGATGATGATGATGATTTTTTTTTTCTTAATGGGCCTGATGGACTCCACGAAGAAATCTTCAAGCGAGAGCGAGGCTCTGTTTTGGCTCCATTGTCATTATACTTTGAGGCACCTCCACTTGTCCAAATAACTCCATTCGAATTGCCATTGTCCCTTGACATTAAAACATAATTATGTTTGACATCCTCCTTTTCTTGGCTGCATCTTCGTCATCGTGGACTAAGCTCTTCATTCACAAAGTTCTTATACCAGCTCAGGCTCCAATGATGGTCCAACCTCAGTCTCGCTAGCTCAACCTGATCCCAGCGACATGTCAGTGATGTTTTGTTCTTGCTTATTAGAGTACCCTGAATACACATCTTCCAGGTGCTGGTACTTAGCTCTGCATGGTGGGTCTCTGATTTCCTTCTTGATCATTGGAAAGACTCCTCTGTAGGTTGTTGGTCGTCTGTCTTGATAGAGCAATTAGATCGTTTGGTTTCTGATCGCATGGTCTTAGTAACTCAAAACGGCCAAAAATGTTAGACAGAACTTTGTAAGGTAGCAATATGTGACCCCACCGAATGCCAAGATCCCGGTTGTGCTTACTAGGGCACGAAAGTTTCGACTGGAGTGCTAAAGTTTACTTTCACCCCACAAAACAAGCCTGCTCGGAGTACAAGTTCTATCGCCTCGGTTAATCCTTCGGTTCGATGGGCAATTTTATGGTCGTGATTTAAGTCTAGTCTGTGCGACACCTAATCCTGGGAATTGTTTAGAGATTTGGGCTGCACTGTGAATACATGGACTGGGATAAAGTAGCATGCTGGTAGTTCGTTATGTGTTTTATGTCGTAACCGTGGTGTTTGTCCGTATGGAGGTCAGTGAACTACCGTAAAACGCTTTTTTTTCGTGCACATTTTTGCGCGTTTTGGCCATTTTGTTTTTCGTGAATATTTTGGATTTGCGATTTCATTATCCGAGTGTCATGTGATTTAATATGCAGCACCTCCCCATTAACATTACATTTTCCAAGCTAATACCTATTAAGCTACTTTCCGGACTTTTAAGAGTAATTTATTTATAGAGGCACCATGCAGTCATCTTTGTCTAGGAGCTGTTTCAGCCGCTATTTCCCGGTATGAAAGGTAAAGGTTATTTAAGCTTTTTCCTTTCGCTGTATGAAACATTAGACTATCGAGTTCATTTTTCTGCACCTTTCCCAACATTCAGACTGGAGATGGCAGACAGGAAACGCGCACTCCGCCAACTATCGTCGTTCGTGCCATGCTCGTCGGAGACGTGAGTCAGTAAATAATTATAGGGGTGACCA